AGGTTTGAGGTTAGTGCTTCCTGTCTCCACACCTTTAGCTGGTTTAGCTGCTAGGAAAGCCTTTGAAAAGCAAAGCACTAAATTCATCATCAAAACAACTTGTCAATTCAGTTAGAGACATGTCAGTCAGGCGAATCTTTTGATAACGTAAGCACAGAAAATGGATGGGTTGACAATGTTTCTTCTAACCTAGTAGGTTTGACCTAGGTAGACCTTACCTGAATACTCACAAGATGGAAAATCAAATATTCCTAGGAAAAGGGCTAGGTCTGCTAATACCCAAGTAGCCTAAGAAGAATCCTTTCCACTGCTAGCATGAACTGGATCAAACAAAAGTTACGATGAGGGAGCTAAATATTTGGGTTTCTTCTGAGTCTAGATATGTCCTTACATTTGTGATATGTCCTTACATTTATAATATGTCCTTACATTATTTGAAGTACTATGGATTTTCAAAAACTCAGAGAACCAAAATACATATCAAAGCCAAATATCATCTGACATTCTGATTATCAGCTACTTTGAGTTCTCCATGCTTTTACTTCACTGTCATTGAGCAAGGGGTGTGTATTTTTACACGTGCCCCATTTTAAAAGAAAATAAGAGAAATGAGAATTATTGTGTTTACTTGAAGTCATAATGATCACATACTCAGTATCACTTAGAGTCACTGGTTATCTTTTTCTAGCACCAAAAGTAAATTTCTTTCATTTAGCGTCTCACAAAGCAGAAATAGATTTTGAGATCCTATGAGATAGTTTCCCATTTGGGCTTGTCTGAATTGTTGACATGAACCAAGGTGGGACCAAATGTTATAAGGATATAAATATTGATAAACAAGAGATTTTATCAGCCACCTTGAACTCAGCTTGAACTCTAAACTGGGAGGCTGTTAGCTACGTATTAACACATAGTAAGCAAACTATTTCAAGCATAGTATCTATGTTTGAGAGCCAGCTAATTTAAAAATGATCTATGTTGACAAAGAAGAGGGAGGAAAGTAAACATAATCAATAAATTGGATGGCTTTTCATCAAATGGCCTTATTGAAAACCCATAGTTTTCAAGCTCTTTCCCAGCAAAATCTTAGGACCAAGAGTCACAAAGTAAAGCATTTTTTGTTTCCTTGCTCAGCGGACATGCCATCAACCAAGAGAATATTGAATATGTAACAGCCAGCCTAGACAATGGGGCCTTGCATTGCTCCTCCCTGAGAAAGTGCTCAATCTGTAGTGCTGAAGTAGAATAGGTTCAAGAGAGATCCAATCAGTCTCAACAATGCTGAGGTTGAAATTTGGAGTCCCCATGATGGACAGAAGGAAAATCTATCTTCTAGTTATTTCACTAAATTATGCCTTGTGAAGGAAAAATAGTTTCAGGAGAGAAGGATTGCTGCTTCTGCCTTCTGAAAAACAGCAAATACTGAAATAAGCTGCTAAGAGTCCACTGTGTTCTCAGTAAACTTTGAACTAATTTGTATTTTCTTTGCAATGATAACACAGTTTGGAAGAATGTCTTCTTCATGTCCCAGATGTCCAAACTGCACCTCGATTTCTGAGCTGCCTATTGTGGTCTTGTAATGAAGAAGAGATGAGTGAAAAGAGATTTGGGGCAAAGGGAAAACAGTTGCTGGTTGGTCTGTGTGGCCTAAGCACAGCCATTTTTAACTCCTCCTTCTTTGTCACTTACCAAGTCTAAGCCAATGTTGAGTTTTGCAAAGTGTAGCCTATAAATATTTCTCGAGTTTATTCACTTCTTTCAAACCATAGCCAAGTCTCTTATCACCTCTTGACTAGACTACTGCAACTGTATCCTAACTGGTCTACATGTTTTCACTCTTGCATCCTTCAGTTACCTTCCACATTGTTGCTAAAGTGATCTATATCAAATGAAAAGTCATGTGCATCACTTTTCTGCCTAAAAGCCTTCAATAGATCTTCGTCACCTGCAGAAGAGAGCTCAAGCTCTCTAATGGCATGAACTATTCTTGCTTTGACAATCTTGTCTTTCATAACTCATGGACCAGCAAAAAGGAGGTAGCTGTAATCCCCCACGTCTGCCACACTCTTTCTTACCCTCCTCATCTCCATTGCTCAGACTGCTCTTTTTCTCTCTTTGTCTTATCCTCTCCACAGCTCCCTAACTTACCTTCAGCCTAAACACACACTCGTCCACCTTACCCCAGTCCCCAATACAAAGACACATCTTAGCCCTGCTAACTTTTACTTAGTAAAAGTTGGTCAAATCCATGTATGTATAATCCTTCAGGACTCAGGTCAACAGTCATCTCTGGAGATCCGTTAGCTGGCTTCCCAGTTGCCCCCAGAAGCTTTGTGCAGATCACGACGTCACTGTGTTTAAAGTAGGGTCTATTTATATCTTTCTTCCCCACCAGACCGTGAGCTGCCAAGGGCCAGGAACTGAGTGCCATTCATTTTTGGGAAATCAATTCTTCTCTCCCAGGTGCATATTAGGAGCATGTCACACCCTAAGTTAGACAAGACGTATTCAGCAAACCACTGGACTCAAGATGCCATAGCTTTTCTTCCTTCCTCCCACTCCTTTTCTTCTCTCCACCTCACTGTGGGTGCTGGGAGAGGGAGTCAAACTGGGCAGTCATCTGGGGTTTCTCTCCAGCCCACACTTGCTTTTTTATCCCCATAAAGAAGTCCTATTCTCATTCTCATCTTTGTCTTTATATCAGCTCACAAAGGCAGATCAGGAAGAATTTGAATGTGCATTAAAACAGAAGCCAAATCATTAGCAACAGAAACACAATTGGGGAGTTTGGTGAGCAAGCAGAAATACAAAGGCCTAACCTGCACTCTCTGAAAAGGAGGGGAGGTACTGGCATTTCTTGCTGGAGTTGGTTGCTCTTCCAATCAGAACTGACCTATTGACTCCTTCTAAGTAAAAAAAGGAAACAAACAAATCAAAAGCAACAACAACATACAAATTGGATGTTTGTATTAACATAGGTTGAACTTTTGGATTCTTAGCATGTTTAGTTTTCAGTGCTTTTGCAAAATATTTGTGGAACAAATCATAAGTGATGTTAAAGTTGTTGACATAGGTTTTGAAAAAGGATTTAATGAGATGGTAGTCAGACCTAACTGCCGATGACAATAGTACGGTCGGATCAACCATCTTTCACTCTAACAATTATTTGATGAGAGTCTATTAGTCAGACTGCATTAGGGAAAGAAGCATAGTATGTGGTCTTTTCTGCCAAGAGGCTGGAAACCAGGGGCCTAGGGGAAATGCACATGAATTCAAAGCTAAGCAAATTGAAGCATGTGAAACAAGAATTGTTCAAAAGGTAGAACTCGACCAACTGTCAAGTGAGCAATATCGACAGTAATCATTTTGAGACCTGAGAAGGGAGTGGTGCTCTGTGCCAAGGAGTTAGTAGACAACGCTTGGAGGTAGGAACGCTCACAGTGTGTTCCTGGGATATTGGCTTAAATGATCTGCCTAATTAGGAGGGTTTTGCTTTGAGGAAATGATGTTGGAAAAGCCTGTGGAGGCCTATTTGAGGATAAGAAGTTAGTTTTCCTTTGTTACACCACTGGTTCTCAAACTTGACTGCCATCTCTAGAATTACTAGATAAACTTAAAAAAAATATGAATGGATACCTGGGTCCCATACCCAGGTCCTATACCTGATTTAATTAGCCTTGGAAAACTGAAGGCTTTTAGATTTCCACTAGGCCATAGTGGCTTTTAACACAGTTGAATATTAGAATCAAGTGGGGGAACTTTTAAGACAATATAAAAGACAATTCACAGAATGAGGGAAATATTTGCATATTACATATCTGATAAGAAACTTATATCAAGGCTGAGACAGGAGGATCACCTGAGGTCGGGAGTTCGAGACCAGCCTGGCCCACATGGAGAAATCCCATCTCTACTAAAAATAAAAAAATCAACGGGGGTGGTGGTGGGCACCTCCAATTCTAGCTACTTGGGAGGCTGAGGCAGGAAAATCGCTTGATCCTAGGCGGCAGAGGTTACAGTGAGCCAAGATCATGCCACTGCACTCCAGCCTAGATGACAGAATGAGACTCTGTCAAAAAAAAAAGTATAACAAATGTATAAATAACTCTACAATTCAATAAGAAAAAGATAAATAACTTAACTAATTAAGAAATGGGCAAATGATCTGAATAGACATTTCTCTAAAAAGAATAGGCCAATGGCTAATAAACACATGAAAAGATAAATAATACCATTAGTTATTAGAGTAATGCAAATCAAACCATGATGAGGTATCACTTCATGCCCACCAGGATGGCTATAATAGAAAAGATGGACAATAACAAGTGTGGACAAGGATAAGGATAAAGTGGAGTCCTCATTCACTGCTAGTAAGAATGCATGATGGTGCAGTTGCCTTGGAAACAGTTTGACAATTGCTCAAAAAGTTAAACATAGAGTTACCATATGATCCAGCAATTTTGCTCCTGCTAAATACCTAAGAGAGCTGAAAATATATGTCCACATAAAAATCTGTATGCAAATGCTCACAGCAGCGTTATTCATAGTAGCCAAAAAGTGATGAATGGAAAATACAATGGAATATTATTTGACCATAAAGAGTGATGAAGTTCTGATGCATGCTACAACATGGATGAACCTTGAAAACATTGTGGTAAGTGAAAGAATCCAGACACAAAAAGCCATATATTGTATGATTCTATTTATTAAAAAGGTCCAGAGTAGGCAAATTCATAGGACCAAAGTAGATTAGTGGTTTCCAGGGATTTAAGGGAGGGAGGAAGTGGGGTGATGGTAAATGACCATAGTAATTCTTTTTGGAGTAATGAAAATATTATGGAATCAGATAGTGGTGATTCATTCATAACTTTGTGAATATGTTTTAAAAATCTCTGAATTTTACACTTTAAGACAGCATACTTTATAGTAACTGAATTATACCTCAATAAAGTTATTATCTAAAATAAAAAAACTTAATCCTTCTCCACCTCTCTCCCCAGCCTAGACCAATTAAATCAGAATTTCCAGAAGTGGGAGGACCTGAGCACAGGTATTTTTTCATTTTAAAGTTTTTGATATAAACAGCATAGATTTTTTAAAAAAGAATTTTGTAGAGATGGGGCTTGCTATGTTGCCCAGTCTGGTGTTGAACTCCTGGGTTCAAGCAATCTTCCCACCTTGGCCTCCCAAAGTGCTAGGATCACAAAGGTGTGAGCCATCATGCCTGCCAGCATTGTTGATTATGTAGGAGACAAAAAGCTACTATTAATTTAGTTCTCTTCCAGTCCCTTCTTGGCAAAACAAAAACAAAACACCTGTGTGTATGAATTCAAATTCAGTGAAATTGTAAATTGCATTTGAAAATAAATCTGATTCTATTTGGCTCTTTGGTGTCGGTATATGAGATGTTGTTTCAAATAAAGAAAATGCAAGTAGGTAAATAATTATTAGCATAACCCAAACAATAGCAAAAAAATGCTTTTGTTTGTATTGAAATTTGAATCAAAGACACAAAGTGGCTTGTTGTTGTAGAAACATTTTGGAAGTTCTCTTGGTTGCAAAGTTGATTCTCAGTGCTTCAGTGTTCTATTTCTCAGATGGTTGTAGACAACTTGGGTTTTAGTTCTGGCTTTGCTCACCATTTGTTTGGTGACTTTAGACAAACCAGCTAATGTTTCTAGGCCTTATACAGTCATTAGGAAAAAGAAAAAAAAAGAAATAATACTGTCATGTGCCAGCGATAGGGATACCATGGGAAACGAGACAATGTGTTCTATTCCCTTATGGAGTTGATAACCTAGTTTCAGTTTCTGTGCTTTTAAAGATTGAACTAAATGGTCTCCAGGTTCTTTGATGTTTTATTGGGATAGGAGTAAAGGTAGATGATGGACCAGAGAGATAACTCCTGTAAGACTCTTTCACCTTTTATGATTTAAGGGCATAAATCTATGAATTTCTTGAGGAGGTTATTCTATGAATTTGGTGTGGAAAACAAATTAAAGCAAACTTTTGGGTTACATTTTTTCTTATCTCTTCATCCCACTCTTGGAATGGGCAATAAATAAAGTAAAAATGTTTCAAAATATTTTAATTCTTTTACAAAATCCCATATCACAACTTAAAAACAAATCTATTTGTAGACTGGGCGTGGTGGTTTATACCTATAATTCCAGCACTTTGGGAGGCTGAGGCGGGTGGATCACTTGAGGCTAGGAGTTTGAGACCAGCCTAGCTAACATGGTGAAACCCTGTCTATACTAAAAAAATATAAAAATTATCCAGGCGTAGTGGTGCATGCCTGTAATCCCAGCTACTCAGGAGGCTGAGGCAGGAGAATTGTTTGAATTTGGGTGGTGGAGGTTGCAGTGAGCCAAGATTGCACCACTGCACTCCAGCCTGGGTAACAGAGCAAGACTGTTTCAAAAACTAACCAACCAACCAACCGAACAAACAAACAAACAAATCTATTTGTGTGTCTGTGTCAGTCAGTAAAACTCCCTCCAAGTGTATCATTCCATCAGGAAATTGGCTCAATGCATAATTAATATTAATGTCTTAGGAAAATTGTGAGTGCATGGCTGTGGTGCTCATTGCCAACAGAAAGTCGTGTGCTGCCTTCCAGGTGAAAACATGCTCCGTTGTTCCATTCAAACGAGGACGAAAATAATATCAAAATGTTAACTTTTGAACTCTCTGTATAATTATCCCCCCAAGAGGTCCTACATTTTCTGCCAAGAGAAAACCTTTGCTGGAGATCTGTTCATTTAGTTAATTAATACATTTTGCTTGCAGGAATAAAAATTATCCTTATATTCTTGTTATAAGCAAATGATTTTTTTCCCCAGGAAACAAGATTTTGGTGAAGCAGTCGCCCATGCTTGAGGCGTATGACAACGCGGTCAACCTTACCTGCAAGTATTCCTGCAACCTCTTCTCAAGGCAGTTCCAGGCATCCCTTCATAAAGGAGTGGATAGTGCTGTCCAAGTCTGTGTTGTGCATGGGAATTACTCCCAGTTGCTTCAGGTTCACTCAGCAACGGGGTTCAACTGTGATGGGAAATTGGGGAATGAATCAGTGACATTCTACCTCCAGAATTTGTATGTTAACCAAACAGATATTTACTTCTGCAAAATTGAAATCATGTATCCTCCTCCTTACCTAGACAGCGAGAAGAGCAATGGAACCATTATCCACGTGAAAGGTAACATATAACTTTACCAGTATACCACCCTAAAGTGATGGTTTTCAAATGCAGTCCAGAAAACTAGGTCTTGGTCAGCGGTAGGGTTGAATAAGGCCTAAGTGATTTGATACTAACAAAGACAAATAATGTTTTCAGAAAGTTTTTTCCTTTTACTGTAGAGTTTCAAGGTTATATTTTGAATATCTTTATTTTCCTTTGCTGACATTGAGTGGGAGAGTAAGTGATAAAGTTGCAGCATGTGGGACTAGATCATTCATTTTTCTCCATTCGAGTGGGTCATGGCAGAAAAATGGTTACCATTAAAATGTAAGCACAGGTGCCCTCAAGTAACAGCTGGATCTAATGGGTTAAGACTCAGGAAGACTCAGTTCTATTTCTAAGTAATTCTTTTTTTGGGGTCCATAATTTTCCTCTGTAAAAGTACCTTTCCATTTTCTTAAACATACAAAGAATGCTGAACTAGAAACCAGGGGACATGAAATTTGCTATTAATCAACTCTGCGATCTTGGATAAGTCACTTAACTTTTTCATAGTCAAAAACTCAATACAATTATTAAGCAGTATTCGTGAATTAGTGAACATAAGTCTACTGAGGTTTTGCTGATGTTATGTTCTCTCTAAATGGTGGGGAGAAAAATCATGATTCCCAACTCAAAAGAATATCATTTATTGATAGCAACAAGTAAAATTTGATTTTTTTGGCATACTTTGTGTATATGTCATAGCTTTCCCCTTTTGTGGAATGCTAATAAGAAAAATCTATGTTCAGTTTTATATCGAATCCTAGCATAATGCCAATGAATGGTTTTTCTTCTATGCTGGAACAGAGCCATGCTGATGAAAAATAGGATACTAAATAAGGAAAGAACCATTAACTTAATGTGGCAGATTAGCTTTTGTGTTCTGGCAAAATAGAGACAATTAATGTGTGAATATTTTGTTTGCTGAGTCCCATTTAGATTTCTAATATCTACAATGTCCAAGCAGAATATTTTAATTGTATCAGGTCAAAGGTAAACAATTATGCTGTTTTGCTTGTAGCTAAGAGTGAAATATTTTTTCCTATATGAATGATACTACTACTTTAAGATAGTATTTTACATATATGTATACACACATAAACCCATAATATGTCATTTATAGTAGAACTGGGAAGGACACCAATGATCCTGTACTTAGTAATTTTCAATCCTGTCTGCATATTATACATTTGAGTAGGTTTTAAAGGAAATATCAATGCCTAGTTCCAGACATTGAGATTCTGATGTAATTGATATGGGTTGAGGAAGGGGTGCTGGACTTTGTTGTATTTTCAAACTTCCTCAGATAGTTTAATGTGCAGCTATAATTGAAAATCAGTGGACTAGAGGATTATTGGTATGCTTTCTAGTTCTAATTTTTTCTAATTTTGAATAGAACTCTACAGGTTCCTTCTCATCTCCTTTTGATTCCCAAAGATATAAAGCTACTTGTTCATCATAATATAATCTATTAGATGGACTTGGAGCTAGAAATTTATCCTCTGATTACCAGTCCAGTGTTCTACTACCATATTAGGCTGATGATTTTTTTAAGGCTTGAAAACATGTATTTTATTCAACTTATTCCAAGGATGTAGTTTCAGGTCCTGATTAACTATCTTCTGATGGAAGAAAGGGGTGAAGTTAGGTTAAGGCCATTGGAAGCTACCATTTTGAATCACACAGTAGATTCCACAGAGTCAAGTGAACACAAGTCTCCAGTGTACTATCCTAAAGTAATGGCTTTCAACTGTAGTCATGAAAACTGACCAGCTCATGGTCAGTGGTGGGGTTGGGTGAGTCTCAAAGCAGAAATCTATGTACTCTAAGCTGATGGTATTTTAAATATTTTTATTTCTTTCACATTTTTCTCTGACGTTCGCAAGGAAGGAAATGTACTCAATTGCGATTCCTGTATCATTTAATCCACTCTATTTTATTTTTCAGGGAAACACCTTTGTCCAGGTCCCTCATTTTCTGGACCTTCTCAGCCCTTCTGGGCACTGGCAGTGGTTGGTGGAGTCCTGGCTTCCTACAGCTTGCTAGTAACAGTGGCCCTTAGTGTTTTCTGGGTAAGAGAAGCAGCACTGCTTTTATGTAACGTTTCCACTGCACATGTAATCTGAACATATTCAAGAAGTTTGCCTATGTGGTTTATTTTCTGTTTAATATATGATGATGATTATTTTCTTTTCCCCATATATGAGTAGGTTTTCTTCTAGCCTGTTCAACTTTATCTGAGCTAAAAATCTGATATGAGTTAGATTTCCCAGAAGGCACTGAGTAGGTGGCCAGACAGAATAAGAAGCTAAATGGGCAAATTAGGGTGGGGGGATTAGGAGCAGTTATCTTTCTTCTCCCCATTTTGCGATGTAATTATGACACATAAAACAGTGATAATGCGTATGCATGTATAAACAGCTAGGCAACTTGGGAAGCTAGGCAACTAAAGCCAATGTACAATGTTGGCTTGATCAAAAATCCTGAGAAACTTGGCTACTGAAATCGTGTATTCAAACCTAGCAAAGAAACTACATCTGTTTATCTGAGTCATATTTTTTTCTCTTCTGAAGTAGTTGAATTGTGTGAGGCCAAGTACGGTGCTGTCATTATGAAACTATAATGGAGTTAGAATTTTCTGAGCTCTCACCACTGAATTGAAGTACCAACTTTTGCAAATGTTTATGTAATAAATGTGGTGTGTTTTTCTTTACTTTCCTCAACATTGAATTTTTGGCCTAGGTTTGAACACATTTTGATGAAGGTGTCTACAGTTAAGAATGGATCCCTGAGTGACAATGTTTTTCTTACTGGGAAACTTCTTATGCACAGAATATGGTAGAAAATACCTCACGTATTGACTCCATGTTGTCTTTGAATTTTTTTCTAGAAGTTACATGCATGTATGAGTCACTTATTCAATGAAAAATATATTCTCTTCAAGGATAAAAGACTATTTCTCTTGATATTCTCCATCTACTACTTCTCTTGATATTCTCCATTTGATATTAAGTACATTTGGTGCTAATGAATGCTTATTGGATTGATGAATTGATAACCTCCAGAGAGGTCAGATTAAGGATTTAAATGAGTCTATCTGAAGTATGATACTCATCTTTAAGGCATAATCCATATATTTCCCTAATTCATAGATGGGTCAGTGATTTCTGAAAACCATACCATGTGAAGCCATCCTGTTTACTATCAGCTTGGTGACTGGGGGTACAGACCTGGCTCCATAGTTATGGCTTCCCATTATCCAGTCTTAGATTCTTTTAGACTTTTCTTGGCCTATTGCTGAAGTTTACCTTTCAATTGCTCCCCACATGGTCCTTGCAGTTCAGGCGACCCCAGGGCTCAGATGGACATTTGTCAGGCTGCCTGTTGCCTAATCTGTACTTGCTGCAGGGTAGAACACAAAGTGCTTGCTTGTTCCTGGAAATTCCTCATACAAGGTATCATCTTTGGAATTTGCCTGGCTTGCCCAACGCTGAAGGTGGGGACTGGTATTGTAAAATATTGCCTGAATTCTGCCTCTGATGCTAGTTGACTTTCATCTTTCCAGATCTTGGTGTCTTCATCCAATTTACCTTCTAGCTTTGATCCTCTGTGGTGTTTGCTGATAATTTTAGAATTCTTAGAATTCTTAGTTCTCGTTTCTTCCTAGTCTCTGGCCATTGGCTTTTATGCCTACCATATGGCTTTTCAATCCTTTCATTGGGAATCTCAACTTCCTAACTTAAAGGCCAGGTGCAGTGGCCCTTTGGGTACCCCTCTAGGAAAGGCACTTCCCTGTGACATGCTGACCTAGGTCAAGGTAATTTACTAGCTCTGCAGAAAGTAGTTTTGGGAACGACTTTAACCTTCAGTGGCCAGAGGACACTGCTCATTATTGAAAACTTATTCTAAATATGCATTAGAATGTCAGTTAGTATAATGAGACATCAATTTACCGAGTGACCTGAGTTACTCAAAGGGACAAAAGCAGCTTCTCAGTTTCAGTGAGTTTAAACCGTTCACTTTCAACTCAGACACACCATGGACACTCTGGGGGTTTCTCCTTGGCAGCACTACTAATTCCTAGGGGGTTCATCTTGCTCTGTCTTAAAAAAATTATTTTTGTTTTACTCTGTCTTACAGATTCCCTGTGAATTGGGCAGTCTTGTCATTTGTGGCCTCTTGTAGTCAGTTCGGTTACCCAGTAAGAACTGCCATTTTATCTGCATCTCACACCTGGGTCTTTGTACTCTCTTATCAAAAGAGTATAAGTACAAGTCTGTTTATGTTTCATTGAATAACATAGTATTTTTACTCTGGGGTCATCTTTTTCTGCTGTTGCTGTTTAAGCAACAAGTACATTGCTGAGCTGGGCATCTAGGCCATTATGGATCCCTGGAGTTTAGCTATTTCCTCAGTAATTTGCTGAGATCCTATTTTTGGCTGGTCTGCAGCGTGCCTTGTTGAAAGTTGCTGTTTTCCAGAACTTCCTGAGGGCCTACGATATGCTACTGTAGGCAGTTCTAGGTTGAGTGGGTTTCTAGGCTGCGTGGGTTTGTGGGAGCAGCTGCAGATTCTATCTCAGTTCTTGACCTGATGTTGACATTTGAATAGATAAAGAACTCCCTTCGGTCAAGCTGCCACAGACCAGCACCTGTCATTGTCTTTCAGTTCTCCACTTAAGCAGCTGTGCTGGTAAAGCTGCCCCTTTTCCTAGCCTAAAGGAATATTTTTAAAAACATTATGTTCCCCACTGCAGATCACAATGTGAGGAATGTTAATAGTATGTGGACAGGTAGTGTCTGCTTTTTATAATAATCCACTAGCTTTTTGAAGACCATGTACTTAAGTAGACTACCTTGCATATGCCCTGTGTTCTGCTATTCCCAGGAGACAAGTGGGTAAGGGTGGCATGGGGAGAAAGGCAAAGGAGGAAATACTCCTTTGGGTTCAGAAATCACATATCATTAGCTGACGTTTACTGTTGACGTTTACTGTTGAAGGAGATGACACAGACCCATAGGGTAGGTACTTCCTGCACACATATGCACACATGCTTGATGCACATGGGCACTGTGGGTTCTGCATGGTGTTTGTTCCCAGTCATGCATTTGTCATTTTCATCCCACTGCTATGTTTAGAATTAGTGTGATAATAAATAAGTCCGCCATCTGACAATCACTTGGGGATAAGCATGGGAGCTGACTGCAACAGACCTTTCATTATCTTTGTGTGCAACGTGAAGAACCTGAGAGTCAAGACACCTTTATTACTGGGGACTCTCTACCAGCTGTGGTTTGGTTTAAGTGTCCGGAGGCAAAGGCTGACACTTGGAGGTTTGGCAAAGGGAGTCATCAGGGTTGGAGTAAGTACTAAATATGCTTCCCAGGTTATCACCAGCTGTTTTCTACACTCATCTGGGGATAGACATTTCCTTGGCCTCACCCCTGCCCTGCTATGATCCTGTGCTCAAGACAGCTCTAGCCTTTCATTTGCAGAAAGGATGCAGAACCAAGACAATTCTTTGTTGCAGAAGACTGCCCTGTGCAATATAGGATGTTTAGCAGTATCTCTGACCTCTACCTGGTAGATGCCAGTAGCATCCCTCTGCATTGTGAAGATCCAAAATGTCTTTAGACTTCACCAAATGTCCCCTGGGACAGGGACTAAGGGAGCTTGATGCATCAAGGATGAGGTTAGGAGGTCTGTCTTGGGCAACTGTATATATGGTAGTGTCATTCACTCAGATGAGAAACACTGGTAAAAAAAAACAGCATTTGGGAGAACTCTTGAGTTTTATTTTAGACGTGTTGAGTTTAGAGTGCCTTTGAGGTTTAGTTCAAAGATATAAATTTAGGTGAGTAGGTGATAATTGAAGCTGTGAATGTGAATGAGGTTGCCTAGGGCAAGAGGATAGAGTAGAGAAGAAGGCCTAGGACCAAGCAGTGAGAAATTCTAACATCTGGTTAGAGAAGGATGAGCTTGCAAAGGAGGCAGGGAAGGAGCAGCCAGACAGGTAGGATAAAAACTGGGATGTCGTAGATAACAAAGAGAAATAGTATCACAAAAGGAAGAGAGTTCTCAAGAGTACAGAATGCTGCTGACAGTTGAAGAAGATGAGGCCTTAAAACACGTTAGCTGTGTTTAGTAACATGGGGGTCAGTGTTTTTCAAACATTTCTTTAGCGCTTACTCATGCCCCTTTGACAAGGAAGGTGTGAAGTGCTCAGGCAGGAGGGTATGGAAGAAAAACCAGGGCTGAAATCATTCACTTATTTATTCATTCAGGTATCATGTCATTCATGTACAGCCTATCTACTTAGGTATCAAGCCTATGTGCCAAGAATTAGGCACTTTTTTTCATAATAGAGAATTCTGAATCCAGAAATCTGATGGCTTTCTGTTTTTTGATGTTTTCTGGGTCATTTATAAAAAATGTAAAATTTACTATCACATTGATCCAGAAATGATGCTCCTAACCCTTAGTCAAAAACTTTGCTCAGATTCACGGTGGGTGAAACTATTGCTCTTACTTCCCTCACTCCTGGTGGAAATTCATCCTGAGGGAGCTGAGCCTATGGAAGAGAGAGGAGTGACACTATTGTCTTTACAGAAATACATACCCCTAAAGAAATAGGAATGTACTAGTTGTCTAGAACTGTAAATGGCCATTAGTATGGACTCCATCTTTACAAACTTGTGGTTATTCCAAACTCTGGAGGAGCTGAAGGTCCTCTTTGGTTACTTATGGAAAAACAGCTTGCTAAGCAAACGCTAATGTAAGAAGATTGCAATGGGGGTTAGGCTTAACCTAGTCAAAGGAGGAAGGGCCTTCGAGTATATTAAATATCAACAGTGGATATGTTAATTAGTATGCATTTTGAATTCAGGTCTAATGATAGCATTGAAAGTAACAGGGATGCATTTCTCTAAAATACTTTCATTGAGATTTTTCAAGTTCAAGTTCATTTTGAAGACTCAGCAGTTAGGTTTGATCAGTCATTACCCAAGTCCAAAGTACTCAAAAAGGTTAGTGTTTGTCATTTGACAATTAATATCATGAATAGTTGTCCCCAAAGTCTTAGAGCTCCTTCCCTGACATTGTCCCTCAGTGATACTGTCACTTCTCTTTTCTGCAGATGAGGAGTAGGAGGAGCAGGCTTCTGCACAGTGACTACATGAACATGACTCCCCGCCGCCCCGGGCCTACCCGCAGGCACTACCAGCCCTACGCCCCGCCGCGTGACTTCGCAGCCTATCGCTCCTGACATGGACGCCTATCCAGAAGCCAGCCGGCTGGTAGCCCCCATCTGCTCAACATCACTGCTCTGGATAGGAAATGACCGCCTCATCTCCAGCCGGCTACTTCAGGCCCCTGTTAGGCCACCAATGCCGATTTTTCTTGAGTGATTAGACCAAATATCAAGATCATTTTGAGACTCTGAAATGAAGTAAAAGAGATTTCCTGTGGCAGGCCAAGTCTTACAGTGCCATGACCCACATCCAAACTTACTATGTATTTATTGACTTGACTGAGAAGTTGGGGTAGACAACAAAAAGGGAGTGGATTCTGGGAGCCTCTTTCCTTTCTCACTCACCTGTACATCTCAGTCAAGAAAAGTGTATCCATGGACATTTTAGTTGGAGAAGAAAGGCTAGAAAATCATTTCTTTTGGTTAAATAGGTGTTTAGGCTAAATGGGTGTAATCTGTGCGTTAGATGGGGTAAGTTAGATTGGGGGAGGGATAGGAAGACAAATATTTAAAAAACATTAAAACACTGTCTCCCACTCGTGAAATGAGCCACTTAGTTCCTATTTAATGCTGTTTTCCTTTTAGTTTATGAATTTCCTTTTAGTATATCAATTCTGACCATATTTAGTCATTTTGACCAAATAAGGGATTTGATCAAAGGAGGGATTCCCTCAAAGCAACATCAGGTAAACCAACTTGCTTTCCTCACTCCCTGTTTGGGACTTCAGTGTTAATGTTCACAAGGTACTTTGGAAAGAATAAAATAGTTCTCCTACACCAAGAAAGAATATGTCAGGAAATAAGGTCACTTTATGTCAAAATTGTTTCAGTACCATGGGACCTGGTGCAGTGGCTTGCACCTGTAATCCCAGCACTTTGGGAGGCCGAGGTGGGCAGATCAGTTGAGGCCAGGACTAGCCTGGTCAAGATGGTGAAACCCAGTCTATACTAAAAATTCAAAAATTAGCTGGGCCTGGTGGCAGGCACCTGTAATCCGAGCTACTCAGGAGGCTGAGGCATGAGAATTGGTTGAACCTGGGAGGTGGAGGCTGCAGTGAGCCGAGATCACTCCACTGCACTCCAGGCTGGGCCATAGAGTGAGAGTCTGGCTCAAACGACGACAACAACAAGAAAACTGCAGAGTTATTTAAGTACTATGAAGGATTATTTGTCTAAGAGCTCATTCCAATCAGAGCAGGCAGAAGCTTTCCTGTTTCATATGCTTCAGGATTGCACAGTTGGTCTCTTTATTGTTTGTGTGGAGATCCAAAGTGGGACGCCAAAAGAGCGTCCGTAGGAGAAGTGAGAAAACTGTGACGAAGGGATGTTAGCATCCATTGGAGTGTGAGGGATGAGTCCCAAGAAGCTTCTTCAGAAGGAGGAAGAACAGAATGGAATGATGAAATACTTACCATGTGCTGAGGAGGTGGCCATCATTGGGTGACAATCTTCCAGAAGGTGTCAGGCAGAAGGAGCTTTGGTGAGAGCTCCTTTACAGGGACTTTATGTGGTTTAGGGTTCAGAGTTCCAAAACTCTGGACTCAGCTGCTCCTGTACATGGGAGGTCCATTCACATGGGAAGGTGTTTTGCAGTGTGTCTTTTGAGATCATCAAAGTTCTTATGGGTCTGGGTAGGGCCTGACCCTGGAATGACCATGGATATTTTTCTGCCTCCAGTTTGAGTCAACTAGAATATGCCTGGGGACCTTGAAGAATGGCCCTTTGGCAGCCCTCACCATTTGTTCGTGCTTCAGTTAATTCAAGTGTTGGAGGAGTTTAGGTTTTAGAGGCACATAGACTTGGTTCAAGTCTTGTAACTAGTTGAATAGCCTCAGGCAAGTCACTGCCCACCTAAGATGATAGTTCTTCAACTATAAAATGGAGATAATGGTCACAAATGTCTCTTCCTAGACTATAATCTCCATGAGGGCATGGCCCAAGTCTGTCTTTGTTTCTGCCTGTCCCTGACATTTAGTAGCATGCCTAACATATAATGTTAGCTACTGGCATTATTGCCATATAGATAAATTATGTTTAAAAATTAAACAGGGGAATAGCCTAAGAAAAGGGGAATATTGCAACGCAAATTTAAACCCACTACGCAGGGATGAGGTGCTATAATATGAGGGTCTCTTAACTTCCATCATTTTCCTGTTTCTTGAAATAGTTTATTTTGTAATGAAATATAGGGCACCCCTGACTTTTATGTATAGAAAGAGGTCTTTAATTTTTTTTTCATTGTGGGAAGGAGGGGTGGAGTAGGAATCTTGAGATTCCAGATAGAAAATACTGTACTTTGGTTGATTTTTTAAATGGGCTTCCCTTTCATTAATTTAATCAGTCCCAAGAAGATCAAACCCAGCAGCACTTGGGTGATGAAGAACTGTTGAATTTACCCTGGCACCTGTGCCACTTGCCAACTTCTTGGGCACACAGAGTTCTTCAATCCAAGTTATCAGATTGTATTTGAAAATGACAGAGCTGCAGAGTGTTTAGAAATGGCAGTGCAAATATATAAATGCATTTTTTTTAATGGAAAGACTTGATCAATGGTAATAAATGATTTTGTTTTCTGACTGGAAAAGTAGGCCTACTAAAGATGAATCACACTTGAGATGTTTCTTACTCACTCTGCACAGAAACAGAGAAGAAATGTTATATAGGGAAGTCCGTTTTCACTATTAGTATGAACCAAGACATGATTTAAAAACAGTGGTTGGAGCAACGCTTTTATAGTTTCAGATATGGTAGTTATGAAGAAAACAATGTCATTTGCTGCTATTATTGTAAGAGTCTTATAAATTAATGGTATTCCTGTAATTTTTGATTGTGAGCTCACCTATTTGGGCTAAGCATGCCAATTTAAAGAGACCAAGTGTACATTATGTTCTATATATTCAGTGATAAAATTACTAAACTACTATATGACTTTTAAATTTGTACTTTAATATTGTCTTTCAGTATTAAGAAAAATATGCTTTCAGACTAGATATGCTTCGCTTTGACAATCTGGAGAGAACTTGCTATTTAAAAGAACTGTGGGGTAAATCCTTGTATAAATCTCCTGTTTAGCCTTTTTTTAAAAAGCTAGACTTTCTGGTTTGTTTGCTTCACTTCAGTGAAGTGGGTACATTTCTGGTTTGTTTGCTTCACTTCAGTCACAATTTCCTATCAGACCAATGGTTGACCTCTTTGAGATATCAGGCTAGGCTTACCTATGTATTCTGTGTGATGTGAATGCTCTCAAGTTTGAGAGAGATCCAACTTCAGCCTTGACCTCATCAGTCCCTCAGGTTAACTAACTGAGCCACCAGTCCTCATGGCTATTCTAATGAGGCTGTTGATGGTCGAATGGATGTCTCATCCCTCATCCCAGCCATCTGCACTGCCAGATGGGAACTCTACCAGACCTGGATACTGACCCCAAAGTGTTAAATTCAACTACATGCTGGAGATTGGAGATGGTGCCAATAATGGACCCAGAGCCAGGATCATGACTGCCATAGACTTATTACTAACCCAGATCAAAGACACTGACATAGACTCTCTCAAGATCTGGGGTGAGGGAGTCTGTTTTCTGGAAAGCCATTTGAAACTCAGGAAGTCTCTCTTTCCTATATGCGTACTTTCTGAAATATCCCTACTCAAACATCACAGGCATGTTCCTACCTCAGGACCTTAACACGTCCTATTTCCTCTGTCTGGAATACCCTTTGGTAGATGACCTGGCTTGCTCCGTCACCCTTCAGGTCTTTGCTCAAGTGTCATCTTCTCCCCTAGATAAACTCCCCAACACCCTGTCCGCTTCCCTTATTTTTCGCCATAGCATTTTACCATCTCTTACATCAGACATTTTACTTATTTATTATGGTTTATAAGCTCCATGAGGGAAATAACTTTGCCTTGTTTCTTGCTGTATTTCCAGTGCCCAGAGCAGTGCCTGGCATATAATAAATATTTATTGACTGAGTGAATGAGTTTTACATGGCCTTATGAATTAACGATCAGTCTAAAGTTTATAATCATGCTTTGAGAGGGAGAGAGCCAGTTCTATTTTCTACTTTCCTGTTAAGAAGTTTAAAAACATTTTATTAAAAAAACAGGAGGTAAAAATATACATATAGCCAAATCTGGTGAAAGAAAATCTGATGAATGTAAATTCATTTACATTTTAGAAATTTTTGTGCAGTGAGGAAAACCAATACCGTTAGAAAAGTAATGCCAACTAAGTCACTGTCAGGAATAAGTTGATTTTCCATTGAAGTCCCAGATTCCCTCTTAATGGAGTACTGGCTGTGTTTTAAACATATCTTTAGTTTAAGACTTCTGAAAAGTTGTCTTTGTAGTTGAAATCCCATCCTACTACTGACCTGCTGCTCTTTTTTTCTGAGGTGATTTTACTCCCAACAAATTCTGTAAATGCCTTCTCTGGCTTTGATTCAAAAAGAACTCAAAATGGAAATGCTGGGAACAGAAAATTCAGCTTCTTCACCTGTCATGCTCATATCATAGCTGAACACTCTAATAGCACACACACACACGCACATGCACACGCACACGCACAGCATCTTGTGGGTAGGGGAAGGGAAAGGCACTTAAACAACTGACACAAGAGCTGGTCTAATAATTCACGTAGCATCTTCTGTTTCCTTTGTTGTACATTTTACTCTGAAGGTGACCCAGAGTCAATTAAATGGGTGTGCAATGTTCATCTCCCAACTGATTCTTTTCTTTGTTGAAATGAAGCTTATTAAACTCAATAAAGGTAATTAAACTTGAAAAAAATGAGCTTACATGTCTCTTACTACTCCAAAAAAGACTGAACTCAGCTAGTTACTCATGGATAGTTCAATAGGACAAATCAAATCAATTGGAAAGGAACAAGATGGGTTAAAAAAAAAAAAGTCAGCCATTAAATGAATCTGCTCAATAAGCACCCCTTTACTGTGCTAATAAAAATAGTGTAACCCAGTTCTGTAAAAAGGTTCTAGTACCTTGAAACTCAAGTTCAAAACAAAGTAAGATGCAAACTTCACTTCACCTAACACCTCCACCACATTCTAGCTTGCGTAACTGGGTGAATATTGCAATTGCCCATAACCCTGAATTCGCTTTTCCCCTCCGGTATGGTAAAACAGATTGATTCCTTTTTAAAGCAGTACCCTTTCTTCTCTCCTATCTTGTCTGGATCAGAGACAATGGATAGGTAAGAAAAAATTAAAGAAGCTTCTGGATCCATTGTAATGGGGACCTGACCACCACACTGTGCAGCAGCAAGTGGGATCGTCTGGAAGGGAGACCAGAACCTTATCTGGCAACTTTGCTTCTAACATCTATTTGTGTTTCTTAAACTGAGGCCTAACTCTTGACTTTTTGAGAGTGGCACTCATAAGAAAGTTTAGGGCTGGACATGGTCACTCTCGCCTGTAATCTCAGCACTTTGGGAGGCTAATGCAGGGGGATCACTTGAGTCTAGGAGTTTAAGATCAGCCTGGCCAACATAGGGAGACCCTGTCTCTATTTAAAAAAAAAATTAGCCAAATGTGATGGTACAGGCCTGTAGTCCCAGCTATTTGGGAGGCTGAAGCTGCAGTGAACTGGGATCACACCCCTTCAAGAACACATGTGAATGGTGGGGCATCTCAGCTTTCTCTGATTTGACGTCCCTGAAGAAATACGTGGTTTCTCTTTGAAGATTCACAGGATCCTAGCACTTAGAAACCCAGGCCACTGACCAGAACAGAAGGTGACACATTTTGTCAGAGTGACTTTTGTCCATTTCAGGATGTTGACACTGGGTCGAACACTTGAAAATTGCTTGAGATGAAATTTGGGTGATCAAAGAATATATCAGCTCTTCCAAGCTGACTTCATTCTTGGTGCAGCTCTCAGGGCCAGAATGTGTTCTTCCCAAAGCCCATTTTCCTATCTGATTTGCCTGTTGAAACTCTGAAAGGCCCTTGGATGCTGGAAATTTGAGGGGACAAAAAATTGAAGAAAGCTGAATGGATTTCAGGGTGGGAGTGGACTGGATTTTACACTTCATCAGGCAGAGCTGTCTCAATGATAGATTGAAACTCTCCTCTGGCTCCAAAGAACAAATCATGAGCTGAGTGGAAATGTCAGTTGAAAAGAGCAGCAAACAGCTTTGTTTTCCTAGAGTTGTGGTTTTACACGGTGATGATGACACACGAAGATGAAAATGTGCAGCATGAACTCCAGTTGTTATCTCAGTGAGCATCTCTGCCAACACTGAAGGATATGTGTGGGTGTCACCTGAAACAAAGAGAAAGAGAGAGAGAGAGGAAGAAGAAAAGGAGGCCCTGTTTCGGAAAGAAGAGCCAGTTAATCAAAGATCAACAGTGACAAGTGGTGCTGTTTATTTCATGAGCTTTATATTTGATTTCCTTCCCCTTGCTAATCTCCATGTCTGAAGTTAGTTTCTGGACTAAATATGTTTGTATCTGGTGACTGAGGAAGGGGTGGAAAAGGTGATCTTGAATGGGCATCAGGCTACCATAGTTATTTAGTCATTTCCTCAATCTCTTGGGCACACACTTAGCTTCCCAAGTGGGGATTTCTGCTAACTTTTGAGACCTGGACATAGTACACAGGGCAGACAAACTTTAGGTTGTTGTTGGGGAGCCAGCCTCTTACCCCCAACCCTATGCAATGCTTGTTTCACTTGCTTTATGTTTCTCCTTCCTCTCTTCCACTTCATTCATTCTAGAACTAGTTAAGGGGCACCTGCCCAGTACTAAGAAGCAGGGAGGGATGTGGCAGTGAGCAGCACAGATATTACCTCCACACTTACCAAGTGTAGAGTGTATACTTTGTATATTCCTTCATTTTTTTTTTTCTTTTCCTGCTCCTCAGGGTAACCGCTTAGTCTTGATTATGGGACTTAATGTGGCTACTTGATAGCCTTTGTTGGTTTGCCTGAAATGGATTTCTTTGACATGTTCCTATTTAACATCTCTAACTCTTTCAACGTTGTAGACCAGGAATCGGCAAATCTTTTTCTGTTAAGGGCCAGATAGTAAATAATTTAGGCTTTGTGACTATACTGTCTTCTTTAGATAATCAATTTTGCCATTGTAGTGTGAAAGCAGCCATAAACAATATATAAACAAATGAGTGAAGCTGCATTCCAATAAACCTTTATTTATGGATATTGATATGCGACGTTTGTATGATTTTTCATGTCATGCAATGTTATTATTCCTTTTTTTCCCCCAACCATTTATACATGGAAAATCCATTTTTAGCTCATGGGCTGTACAAAGGCAGGTGGAGGGCTGGACGTGGCCTTTGGGCAACGGTTTGCTGATCCTTGACTTAGATCTAAGCTGCAACCTTAGCTATAAGCTTATTTTTGAGTTCCAGCCACCTTCTACATTTAGGCCAGAAGGAATCTGTTTGAATGTGTGTAAAGGCTTCTTGGGAGTGATGTGTGTCAAGTATCTCTTTTGAAAGAAGGACATAGATCAATAAAGAAGAAGGAAGACCTTTCGTTTAAGGAAAGCCATTTGAGGTGGAAGAAATGGGAAGTTATAAGTAAAGGGAATGAGAAGCTGTTTCAGGATGACAGAGTCTTCTCTTTATTATTATTATTATTAATTTTGACAGAGCCTTGCTCTGTTGCCCAGGCTGGAGTACAGTAGCGTGATCTGAGCTTACTGCATCCTCTGTCTCTCAGACATAAGCAATTCTTATTCCACAGTCTCCTAAGTAGCTTGGACAACAGGCACACGCTACCACTCTCAGCTAATTTTTGTATTTTTGCATTTTTTTTTTTTTTTGGTAGAGATGGGGTTTCACCATGTTGGCCAGGCTGGTCTCAAACTCTTGGTCTTAAATGATCCACCCACCTTGGCCTCCTAAAGTGCTGGGATTACAGGCATGGGCCACTATGCCCAGCCTATATTATTGATGAAAGCCTAAACGTCTTGGGAACTGTTGTTGCTTTTCTCTCAAGTCCTTTCTACTCTTTCCTCTTTTCTAAGCATCAGATCCTTGTAATCTCCAAGGAAACAAATTTCTATGCAAAGAAGGAAAGGGGCAGAAAATGGTCTGTGTCCTATGTGATGAGCAGGCTTGACTTCCCTGCTAATTTGTCCCTACATAATACACCCAAATCCAACTCCGGGTGGGTGGAGAAGAGATCAGAAGCAGCTGTCTCAGAATTGGCCTCCTACTTTCTACCTATCTCATTTTTTTCAATCTGCACTTGGCTGCCATTTATGGGTGACTAAGAGTAACCCCTCATGAATCTACATTAAGGCTCAGCATTTCACAAGTAGCTGATGAAATCAGTGTTACTCAGATTAGAAAGGCACCGACTTAACCCTTACCATCCCTTGCCCCATTCCTTACTCCCATCTACAGCTGCTTGTTACACCCAAGGTACAAATTGTTTCTGGAGGCAGCCCAGCACATGGGGGTGCCCTGAGCCACACACCCATTCACACCATCTGGGCAGTTTAAAAATAGGACCAAATGGAGCATTTAGCTTGGTCTGTCCAGCCAAGATCAGGAAGTTGCCTCCGAAAGGTCAGATGATTAAGATTATTGTGCCAACAGTCTAGGATGTCATAATGAAAAATGCTTCTGGCAGAATGAAGTCTCCTGACTTTGCACATGGTGTTCCAGCTCTGAGTTGGGATGAACCGCTTTGGGAAATCCCAAGATTTTTCTACTCTAGAAAGTAGGGCTACTGTGTACACTTATGCATTGTGTGCCGTGCACAAAGGCCCTTAGGTGAAGGGAAGGGAGGGGGCTGAAATCTAGTCAAGCTCCCCTTATCAAGCTCTGTACCTGCTTAATAAAGGAGAGGGCACCTTCTCTAATGCCCTCATGTATGAGCTATTGAGGCCCTGACGGAATGCTAGCCTTTCTGCCACTTGGTTACTCAGCTTTATTGAAGAATTTATATCCCCATCCTCAAAGCAGGAATTTTCTAGGATGAGCAATAGTTAAAACCAAATAATACTACCCCCTCCCCCACAAAATGGAATGGTTCTAAGTATCACAAAAATTTCTCTCCTCGGTCCCTTCTTTAGTTTTTCCTTCACCTAATCTCTGCATGCTCTAATTTAGCTGCTTGGCTTTTCTTGACTTACATTGGGTGAGTTTGTCTTTGGGGAGTAATGAGAGAAGAAACTTCCTAGTTTGCGTCCTAGTTGGGCTCTTAGAAGAAAAACAGAAAACGTTTTTGTGACCTGAAGAATACTAGGTGATATAGCTTGGATATTTCTCCCCTCCAAATCTCATTTTAAAATTTGATCCTCAGTGTTGGAGATGGGGTCTAGTGGAAGGTGTTTGGGTCATAGGGGTGGATCCCTCATGAATGGCTTGGTGCCATTCTTACGGGATTGAGTGAGTTCTTACTCTTAGTTTCCGGGAGATCTGGTTGTCAAAAAGAGTCTGGCATCTTATTCAGTGCCTCCGTTCTCCCCTGCCTGTTTCTCTCTCCTTCTCACTCTCTCTCTCTTACTTCCTGCCACTTGATATTTACACACAAGCTCCCCTTTCCCCTTCTGCCATGACTGGAAGCTTCCTGCAGTCCCTGCCAGAAGCAGAAATGAATGCTATGGTTCTTGCACGGCCTGCGGAACCATGTTCCAAATAAACTTCTTTTTGTTATAAATTACCCAGCCTTAGGTATTCCTTTACAGCAATACAAATGGACTAAGACACTGGGTTTGGGGTTAGTTTTGGGGATGTACCTAGAACCCTTCAGTTAATGCAGTCTACTCTTATTTCCTAGTTATCAGTACATGAGG